GAAGAGTTTCTCGCTCCTCTGTATACTTTGGCTGGAATGTGTTTGGCTGGAATGACAAGTGCTTGCATTGTACTTTTTATCCAACATCTCTTAACATGCAGTACAGACTGACATCCGCTTCATCCACCACTGAAATGTGAAGTGAGAATTTTCTTCACCAAAGGCCAGACTGTGTTAACATTCTATTCTTACGAATAGTGTCATTAAATCTTTAATGACCATATAGCCAAAACCTCAGAATAACATCTCTAGCATGCCTGTCCTCATGGCAGCACTGTGGAGTAGGCTAGGTCTACAACAGCAGCCCACCATGGCTTTCCCACCTGTCAGTCAGACGTAGCCTAGCTTAGGTTCTCCTAGCCACAGTGGGCAGTGATTTGTTACCAGCGTGTACGAGTGGCTGTTGCATTTTCTACCCCTTCCCACGTGATGCCGGCCTGTTGTAGATCTTCTCAGAACGTGCTCCTTCAGGTCTTCGTTGGCCTTCCTCTTTTCCTTTTCCAGCCCGGGTTAATCCATCTCATTGCAATCTGTGAATGCTGGTGGTGTGGTAGGCGCAGAATATGGCCTGCCAGTGCATTCTGTCACTGTGTCTTGCAGCCTCCGTAAGTTGGCTCTTGTAAGTTGTAAGATTTGTTTCATCTGCAATATAGTCGCTGTAGGTGACATTAAGTATTTTTCAAGGGAAACGCTGGCGGAAAACATTTAGCTTCTGTGCTATTCAAGTTGTGCTTTTCCATGTTTCACTGGCGTAAATCACAGTAAGTAGGACTATGGCTTTATAAAGGCGGATTTTTGTGTCAATGCTGTTGATGGACATATCGAGTGCATTCGCTGGAATACTGCCACCGCCTTGCCTATTCTGCTATTAACTTCTTTTTTATGTCCCCTGTTGTGCCCTGTCATTGGGGCAGTGGTTTGGAAAATCACCTACTGCAACACCTACTGGGGCACCAGCACAACTATAGACCAGCAACCTAATTTTTCTTCTAGGTCTCACACACCTACACATTCAGACATCTGAGTTCTGACAAGTTAATCCTGCAGTTTCTTAAATAAATGTTTCCTTATTTCCTTTTGTTTATTAAGCTTTTAATGAGCTTAAATTGCTGCTTCCTGTATGTAGTGGTAAAGTTGTGTAATTGTGTTTTGTTCTATGTACTATTTATTTCCTTCCTGAGATACTGTATATAATTATAATAATAATAATAAACTTTATTTTATATAGAAACCTTTAAAGGTGGCTTCTCGAAGCACTTTGCAGGATGACAATAACAATAAATAAGAAGAATACAACAATATATGATTTTAAAGAATGAAATTCTATTTTGGTGTGTCTAATTCTTGGTCCTGAAAAGAGCTCTCTTCAAGAGACTGAATTCCTTTAATTTGTCTGTGTGTGACACTTCTTTAAGATCAGGTATTAAGCTGGTTGCCCTTCCTTAAACAAATTAAAGAGCAGGAATATCCTTTTTGTATCCACAATATTCAGAGCTCATATCCTTACATTGCATAATTTGTTATTTAAATTTTATATTTTTCATTATACTGTATATCCTAATGTATGTTGCCTTATTTTACTGCTTCCCGCATTGTCTGAAGACATTGATGAACTTATATAAACCCATACAGGTCACAGCCTCCATTAATCCTCCACTAATCAGACACAATTAAGCCCCTGCTTCTTCCCACAGACGCTGACGCACATCCTAATTATCCAACCACGTCCCTAGTCCTACACCACACCTTCTGACCACCCACTACTTAAGGGCTCCTCACCTGCACCTCCTCGCTCACTATTAAGTTAGTTCCTATAGAGCTCACCACCCTTATAAACCCCCTTGTCTGAGAGAACTATTGTCTTCTGGCTTCTAGACCTACGCATCCTCCTGACCACGACTTTTTTGCAAAGTGACTCAGCTAAGTACACCTGGCATCCGCTCTCCATATAATTTCCTTGCTTAATATCTTTAGCTAATGTCAAGGATGTTGGAAGTGACAAGCCACAGAATGGCAGGAGAGCGGAAAAAGACCCATATGCGTAGGGGCGGAACGGGGCATTAGCCCGGGCTCAGCAGCTCAGGAGTCTAATAGAAACCAAAGCCCTCAGGCAGCGGACGTGGGGTGACCTGGTGCTAGGCGGGTCTCAGGACATCCAAACATCAATGCTGAGCGAAGGGGAATGAGTGACCCGGAAATAATAGCCCCACAGAGAGAGACACCGGAAGGACAGCAAAGCACAGAAAACTAGGGACAGGACAGAGAGTGACAGCTAAGTACCGCATAGGGTCTAATCCCCTTGCTGAACCTCCCGGTGCGTTACAATAAAAAAAGCTCAAGATCAGAGTCACCAATTTTGGAGCTATGGTGATCACTTTTATTTAATCTTGATTTATCAAATGTCATTTATCAGGAGTATACCCTGTGCTTGATTCTGACTAAATATTCTTGGTCTCCTGGTGCGTCTAAAATACTTGATACTGCTCAAATATTTATGTCACTTACAATTTTGTTTGGCGGATGCTTATATCCAAAGGTCACAATAGGTCAAAAACAATTAATTGTATGTAATTGTTTTCCTTTCTTCTTTTTGCTGTTGCTTCTCTTCAGAAAACATGATAATCTACCAAGTCACAGTCATAGACTACAATAAAGAGTTTACTTTAGCACATAAAGAGCGTGAAAACAAAATGACCAAAAAGGCACATTAGTGATTTTTAAATACTTTATTGGGTAGTTTTGAATGTTTTATCACTATCATTTACGGACAAAACTTTACAAGATCAAAGAGAGGACCAATGAGAGGAGTACTGGGTCCCAAGTCAAGTAAAACCCAAGGCCAGTTGATCAACTGATCAATTTCTGCTCATATTTCCTTCCATGGGAATAGTGGAGCTCTGAAAAAATAAAACATGAACGCACGAGGACCACTGATCGTAATGGGAAATCACAGTTTACTAATTATATTGTGCATATCCTTGATGGATGTTTAAAATATTTGTTTCTCCATTGCTATTTCTTTACATATCACATGTGATGGACTTAGAAATAAAAGTCTTAAAAGTAACTCTTACTTGCAAAGTTTTATTTTATTACAAGCTTTAGCTTCTCCATCCTCAGTTTGAAGTTCATCAACAATTTTGTTAAGATTTTTGTTGACAATACCCCTGCAGGGACCTGCAAGCACAGAAAGTTTTCCACATGCTTCCTTGACACATTTAGCAATAGCTTCCTGCAGAATAAAACATAAAACTGTTGTTGTTATTATTATTATTATTATTATTAAATAATAAGCTTCAATAAGCTTCATTTCGTGACATCCTGAGCAAGCTGTATGATAAATTCAACATTTACAGATCTGTATCTTGCTGAGCTCCTAGTGTAATGGGTGTATTTGTGCCCAGTACTGTACTGTACTGTACTGTAAAGGAAACACTGCTTTGATATACTGTATTCTCTCTCACTTGTAAACTATTCTAAATGTGTTAAGGTCTATTTACAGTAAGTGACCTTCAGCTGTGTTTTTAGAGCAGTGACTCTTAGCATGCCTGCATCTTCTGAATTATTATAAATACACAGGTTTGTTCCAAAAACCCATCATGACCATCAGGTATGGTCAAAACTGCATCATCGAAAGCAAGTAAAATAAGTCTATGGTTTATTATTTTTAGTCTTTGGTAAGATGAAGACAACAGACTGGTTGCTTTTTATCACTGTGTTTTTTAATTGAGAGTAGAACAATGTGTAAAAAAATATAATTGATGTCATACCATACTGGCACCTCGTGCTCTATCAGTGAGTTACAGTAGATCAGAAACACTACATTGTTTACCTTGGCATCATTAGATGAGAGCTTTTTCTTCACCATCTTCACAATTTTCTTGCAAATTCATTCTGTTCCTGTACCAGAGATTGAGATTGTTACCTCCAGGATTGATTTTCAACTCACGTACAAAGTTTTAACTTTGAACAGGTCATTTCAATATCTTAAAAAGAAATTCTGATTAGAATACTACCGCATCTTAATAACCAACCAAGGCTCTAGACATTTTCAACATGTTTTGAAGGGCAATTTTGCACTCTCTGTATCATCTCAATTTCAGCTTTCTAAAAGCATTTGGAATATTATGGACTTTTAAACGCATCAAGTAATGACGAGAGGAGACTATTGAACCCATCTTGTTCACTTGGTTGTTTAGTTGCTAACCAAATCAAAACATTCATCCACTCTTTTGTAAAAGAGCCCAGAGATCAGGCTGTTAGTTGTGTGACTGGTTCAGATACCAGTTTCCTCCCACAGTGCAAAGACATACTGGTAGGGTAACTGGCTTCTGGGAAACTGGCCCTGGTGTGAGTGTGTCCGTGTCTGCGTGTGCTCTGAGATCTACTGGTGTCCATTCCTAGGTGTGCCTGTTGCTCCTCCATGACCCTGTATTTGGTAAACTGGTGAGAAAATGTATATATGCTGTAGATATACATTTGGCCATCACAATCTCCAGACCTCTGTGCATTATAACATGTCTAGCTTCCCTGTGAGCCTGAATTGAAAGAAGCGGTTAGAAAATGGATGAACAGATGGATTTTCACTATATATCCTAACATATTGTTGCCTAATTTTACTGATTTTTTACCTTGTCTGGATGAATACTTACAGTTCGTACCTACCAAGCAACCTCAAGATATCACCCATATTTAATTTATCACGAATATTCTTGACACTCATTTCTTGTTGTATTCCTTTTGCTACTTTAATTCTGTTGCTCATATTTTTGTGTCATTTACAAATGCATCAAGGCTTTAGATAAAGCCTTTATCCAAGGGTGACGATGAGTAAACTACATCATATGGCATCTTTGTTTTATCCTATTTTTTGTTGTTTCTGTTACACTTGCTGTATCAAGATATAGACTGCCTTTCTATTTTTATTTAAAGGAATTACAATTTTTTAAGAGCACATCATGAGAGTTACTGTAAATGCAATGACACAGTAGGCACAATAGTGATTTTTTAATACTTTATTGAGTCGTATCATTGGGACCAATTTTCAGAGTACAGGACAAGGGACCAGTGAGAGAAGAACTGGAGAAGAACTGGCCACAGGCTCATCAAGAATGGCATCAATTGTGGTCTTGTGCATCCATTTCTGCTCACATTTCCTTCCAGGGAAATGGTACTGAACTATAAAAGGCAAAAGTAAGATTAACACAAATACAAACCAGGAGCAGAGGAGTTAAAGGTGAAACCACAATTGACTTATCATATTGTTCATATCCATGAAAAACTGTGAAATGTCTCTTTAAATGTGATTCTTCCAATAGTAGTTTAGAAAGATGTTGCTTAAGCTCCTTGCTGTTTGTTGGGATATCAACTGTGCTGCTTCAAAGCTAACATTTTGAAAGTAACTCTTACCTGCAAAGCTTAATGTGAACACAAGCATTCTTTGGTCCATCATCAGTCATAAGTTCATGCACCAGTTTTTCAAGATATTTTTTTACAATACCCTTGCAGGCTGATTTTAATGGACGCATTTTTTCACACACATCACGGAGACTTTTAATAATATCATCCTGCAAAAAAGAATCAAGAAATCAGCAACACTCTGCAGAAGAGTTAATGTCATGACAGCCAATGCAAGCAGTATTACAAATCTATAATCAATGCTTTCTCAGAGGCACTGTAACATGTGCAATGTGCAACACATTAAGTACACTAAATTGAAGACTAATGAATAGGGCATATTTGTGCTAAATAAAACCTCAAAGGCAGTAACCACAGTGTAATGATTACACAGACAGGGGCAGGCCATGGAGAATATACAGAATAAGAGTCCATACAGCATAGAACATGATGGCTGGATTTTCACAGTCTCCAGGACACACTTCTTTGAAATTTGTGCTCTCACACTAGTATTCTACTGATGATTTTCTTATGTATTTAATAATATTTGTCAATCAGTGAGGAATGCTGAGGCGCCAAATATATTTTAGCTTAATGTAGTGAATGCAGATGATCTCTGTGTAGTCAGTGGCTTTCAACTTTGTACAGTGCAAAGACCAGCTGTGGAACTTAACTAGAATTTCCAAACTAGTGTAATATAAAGTTAAAGGTGACACTATATTGTAGGAGGTACTGTCTTTTTGGATGAGACATTTAAGCAATGCACTAACTACTTTATCAGTAACATTCCTATGGAATGGGTCATAAGAATAGCATCCTAGCTTGTTCTATACAGGTTTGGACAAGGTTGCCTCCTAAATGCCCACAGCTATCCAACCTGACCCTAAAATGGAAGTTAAGGTCAATGGCCTCCTGGAATGGATGTACTCTTTAATATTTAGAATTATACTGGAAAGCATAAACAGTACAGACTTGGTTAGTATCTTGAATTAAAGAGAACACCCTTGAGATCCTTTCTGAACCTTCATATTTTGAACATGTCTTACTCAGTACACATACTAGAAATAAATATAAAAAACAAAACAGGAAAAAATAATGGACACATTTTATTGTCCTTCTTCAAAAGGCAATATCTCAAGTTGTGGAACACCTAGGATGAAAATGTCCAGGTCTCTAATGTGTCTTTTAACTTGTATAAAAATTTGAGTTATGCAACAAACATAAAAAATTGGCATAAATAAAGGCTGGTCCTGGAATGATTTTGTCCTTCCTAGAGATGTGAAATAAATATTATATAATTTTTTCATTGGGTTTTCCACCACTGTGCGCTGGCTCTGTGTCCAAGGATCTGCGCCTGTGGCTGTTAGGTTACTTGTTCAAATGCTGCAGCTTGCAGAGGAATCCTACTCTGTTGGGCCCCTGAGCAAGGCCTTTAACCACATCTGTTCCAGGGGTGATGTATAAGTGGCTGACCCTGCGCTCTGACACCAAGCTTCTCTCCCTGTCTGTGTCTCTCATGGAGAGCAAGTCAGGGCATTTGAAAGGACAAATTCCTAATACAAGGAATTGTATATGGCCAATAAAGTGATCTTATCTTCTATTGTATGGACTTCTGCTTGTACTAGAGAGCCCACATATAAAGTTTATAGAGAAAAACAATGTTTTTTGGCACATTTTGAACGCTTCTGATGTGTATTTATGACAGATTGACAAGAGGCTATGTGATCTTCAATTTCTTGATAGAATAACAATTATATAAAAAAGACAGGCAATGCAAGGACAACTAAGAACTCTCTCTTTGCTAAAACCCTTCTTAAGATGTCTCTAAATGGTCAGAATTTGATGAATGACATCTGTTACTTCCTATAACATCAGCTTTTTCAGTAGCCCAGTCGGTTTGAAAACATATAGGGTCCTTCAGCAGCCATTTCCTTTTGTTTACTGTATTTTCCATGTGGAAAGTTTTACTCTATATAAGTAACTTTTTCAAAGATAATGGATTTCATGTAGTTTGATGAATTTTTTCTTCGGACCTTCTCTAAATCGAAATGCTAGATATACTTTCAAAAACTATTTGTTTTATGCTTTTGTATCTGGATATGAAACACTGCTAAAAAGATTAGGTTTTCCTTTTTGTTGTGATATACAGTATGGTTCGTAGTGTTGTTTTTTTACCTTGCTGGTCATACTATTTATAATACCCCCGTTGTGCAGTTTCTGTCTGAGGTTGAAATTATGCTATTGATTTCTTTGTTTATTACAAAATAGTTTCTCTGTTGTAAAAAAATATGGTTGTGTTAAGAGGAAAATATAGATCACTTGCATTTGTGATATTTTGAGAAAGGATTAAGAAATGTTGTTTTCAGTAATGAAAAGTGTAGTATTAGAAGTGAAATGACACTTGTAGTCAGATGGGCCTACGGATAAGGTTAAATTACATTTGTTGAGTACTCCTCGATCTGCTGTTCAGTGGGTATGCTGATATACAATGGTTACCATGCCTCACTCAGATGGATGCTACACTTGGTGGGTGAATAGGGTTCACTCTATATAAAAACTTTGTATAAACTATACACATTATACATTGAGAACCTTTAGTATACAAAATGCTATACAGATGGAAGGAATTATTTAGACTGATTATTCATATACATGTTTACACTTATTATCAAATCTGCTTTAATCACGGCATATAAAATAAATCCATTTTTAGTCTCTTGGTTATCTGGCTTTCAGAAAATGTCATCACTTCATTTTAGATTGTATTTTTGAACATTCTTTGAACACCTTTCAACTGGTATTACCCATCTTGCCTTCCTTTACCTTGGTAGCATCCTCTGGGAGACTTTTTTTCACTATCTTCATAATGGCCTGGCAGGCTTTACAGCGAAAGTTCAGTCCCTGCTGGGAGTCTCCATGCTCCTGTATGAGAGAGATTCAGATTCTTATTATCTGGATTTATAACCCATCTACAGAATGTAACATCTCTTTTTTGTGAACCGTCCATGTATTGTGTATAGCCACGTCACATGAAGGGATGTGGCAAGAAAAACCTCACCTGGCTGACACAGGGCCCAAGGTGGGACTCATACACAGGAACAATTTAGAAACAATACTGTGGCCAGCATTGGTTGAAAGGAAACTGGAGCAGCCAAGAAAACTCAAATGAACTGAAAATTCTGAGGCAGGACTAGCTGGTGTGCCACCATACCAATGCTTTTGCAAAACAATTTATCTTAGCAAAACAAACAATCCCCCTCCTCCAAACCATCAGTACACCCCCTTAAGCTACTGCTACAGGACAATTAAAATAATGAGATGTCCAAACAACTTTACTTCCCATAGTGGAAATGTCAGTAAAAGAAGGAAGAAGAGCCCGGCAGCTTGCGCTGACTGTTCAAGTCATGAATTATGTGAAGACCTTCCTCAATAAAAATGCCACCCAGAATGTGAATCCCTTTATTTCTTCAAAATGAAGAACAGAAAATTTTCTCATAAATGTTATTATAAAAAATAGAAGAATGGAAATGGTAGTTCTTCTGAGATTTTGTGGCTCTTTCTGTCAAATGTCAGGTTGTAAGTAAATATATATTGATATGACAAAAGTGGAAAGGACAAGTACCTAATATAATTCAGATATTGAATTTCATATACAGAGACCAGACTGTCTTTTGCCTCACTCTACATAGAGGTATAAACAAGTCACATTTATAAATGTAAGGGTAGAGCAATTCTGCCCAGCATTTTACTTGAACTGCCCTTACTTGGCAGAAGGTCTCAGTAGTTTCCTTGCTCAAATATAACTACAGTGGAACCCTCTGATTCTGGCTTAAGGTTCAATGGCACTGAAAAAGTTAAATATGAATATCCAAATGTATGTAGTCGATCAGTGATGGGTGAAAATTAAAGGTAAAATTGTTATGCAAATGCATAAAGTAATTGTAAAATCATACATGTCATGCCAGTAAATACACTGTAATAGTTCTGACCTCCGGTTTATTGCTATAAACATATAAAAAAGTTGGTTCTATACCCTTCAAGAATTGCTCATGGAATGAAAAGCCAATACACATAGTGTTAATGCACATATAAACCAGCCTTGACACCAGCCCTGTATTTCTGTCCCTCTGCGTTATACTGTAGAAGGAATTTGCACTGTTAAGTTCCTGGATCTCTTTTCTCTGATCTGTCTTCTCTTGTTTCAGTTTTGCTAAACACCTTTCAGAAGCATGTGGTAACTCAAAATCTGAAATTGCTCAGAGGGTACTGGCCAATGTGTTCTTCATTAAACATTGTTTACCTTCAGAAAAGCATCTGCAATGTCTTCTTCATCAAAATGACCAGAGTCAGCCAGGGCTGTGGAAAGAGGTAAACTATACAACTTGATTCTGAAGAATGAATAGTGCAAAGAAGAAATACTTTTTTTCAAAGAGGTGAGAATATCACTTTTGTAAAAGTGACTGAATAATATATTTCAGTCTCTCACAAATCTCTCTAATTTTTAACTAATTCCATAACAGTAATGTTATTTTTGTCAAGTGGTGACTGAAATTGTACACATTTCTAAACAACATAATAATCCTTCATTTAATTACTACACTTTTAACTATGCATCTTAACATTCTGATGATTTTTATATTTTTTCACAAAAGTTCTAGAGGAGGAAAATAATGTGTCATCATAGACACTTAGACTTTTTCATAGATGATTTCTTTAAGATATAGGGTATATCTGCACAGTAGGATTTCACCTATGTTTCATTTTCATAAACAAAGAGGATAATTTTGATCCCCAAATCCTCCCACAGCATATACCCCTACCAAAAGATGTGGAATAATCTGCTATAGCAGCCCATGGTAACAAAAATACATTTTCCTAATTGTAATACACACAAAAAAACACACAAATGAAACATTTGTATTTGAAAATGAGGAACAAAACAATAACAATAAGAATGATAATGGTGATGGCAATTGTTTAATTAATAACAGTGTAACTGAATGTAAACAATAAAACTAAGAAAATACATTAGTATTATTTGGATTTTAAGTTTTTATATATATATAATAAATAATATTTGTCCTGAGGGGTCCGGAAGAGAAGATTAGGCAATGAGCAAAGAACAAATGAAAACTTACTAGAGGAAGCAAGAAGCAGGCAGATGAGAATGATGCGAGTCATTTTGACACCTTCTGGTAGTGGGTGCTCTTCAGATGCATCAGCTCTCTGCTGACCATCAATTTATAGTACTTGGGACCACCCTAGTCAGGGAATCTAAGCCTATGTGGTTCTTCAGTTTGTCATTTACAGGAAACCTCTCTACAGCTACATGTGTAGCCTCATGTTGCTTATTGTAGTTTGTCCACCTGTGGTGAATTAAAGCAGAATGTTTTGTTCCTTTTGCTGTATATTGTTTTTGAGTGTTGTACAATTTTCCATGCAGTCACAGAATTTCAAAGCACAGATACACCTCTGAGGGTATAGTCATTGTCTGGCTGCAAGACTGAATTTGTTAACTATTTGTTAATTTGATTAATTATTTCCAGTATTGTAGGTAAGTACTAGAGAATAATTATACTTATATTTATATGATTTACATTAAAATCAAGGCTATAGGACATAGTAAGATTATATTGTTAAGAATATACAGTAATTAAACAGAAGACATAAATATTGTCCCACTGAAGGAAAAAGAAAATAGCAGGAGCCCAAAATCGGATTAGAATTGAGAAGATTGTAGATGTATCAGAATTAAATAATGCAGGACATTTTGGAGAGAAGTTATTCCTTGCCATGTTCAGGATTGTTCTGGCAGTGCAAACCGGTTAGAGAGAAAATTAAGCTGGTAATGAGGTTGCTATCAACGCAATTAAGTGTTAATTAATATGCAATATCAATAAAATTAGTACAAGAAACCCATTATTGTTTCAGTTCTGGTCTTATATCAGACTCTTGTAAACGGCTGCCTGACCCAATTTCTTTGCATACAAAAATGGTCAAAAGTAGTTGAGTTAGTTAGTATTAAGTTCTTTAATGTTTTTTTCTTAAAATCTGTAGCTGGGCAAAACTGGGCAACTGCCAGTGTGCTGGATGCTTTTGCTGGATGTCATTTTACCAACAGTTTGCAAATGTGTAAATCTGTAAAATTTAGTATTAGAAGACCTACATCTGGCCACATCTATAGTGACACCCCACTGCATTATGGAAAAAGAGGAAAGACTTACAAGGCACAGTACTACTCAAAGGAGAAAGAAACAAAAAAGCACACAGTTCTGTCTAAAACAACATGCAAGATCAGGGGCGCAGCGGTGGCTCTGTGGCTAAGGATCTGCGCCTGTGACTGGAAGGTTACCAGCTCAAATCCCGCGGCTGGAAGAGGAATCCTACTCCATTGGGCCCCTGAGCAAGGCCCTTAACCCTAACTGCTCCAGGGGCACCGTACAATGGCAGACCCTGTGCTCTGACCCCAAGCTTCTCTCCCTGTCTGTGTCTCCATGGAGAAAAGCTGGGGTATGCAAAAAGACAAATTCCTAATGCAAGAAATTGTACAGGGCTAATAAAGAAACATTATCATTATCAAATAGTGAAGTCCAGTTCCATTTTTACTTATTTTCTTCTAGCTGAGGATTTCTATTTAAATTTATTAAGCACTTTAAGCACTATACAATGAATTAACACAAAATAAAACAATATTACGTATATGTTCTATGATGTAGATTTAACAGGCAGCAGACAGGAGGGGGTGTGTGTTCTTCTAGTTACTTTGTTTGCTCTACTACTATTTCACTACTATTCACTACTATTCACACATCAATAGCAGTTACTAGAACAGGTAATGAAAACATATTTTCAGTTTAAGTGCATGGAAAAGATTTTATAGAAGAAACCAAATTTCAAGGCAGCTGACCAAGCTGAATAAGAGACTACAAGCCTGTAAATTCTATAAGCTACAAGGGGAATGGTTTGGCAAGAAGCTGTGGGTATCTTGGCTTACTAATTACAACCCTATGCCTCATGCCACTACTTTGACTGTGAGTCTGAGAATCGTGGTCCCAGTCAGCTAGTGACATGACCCACACTGTGTTTGACCCACCCATGCAAGACATCTTGTCACAGAACTCAAAACCTGCACTTAAAACAGTTGTCATACTGGTTAAACCACACAGGAAGCCCTCTGATTAAAGGATTAAAGTATTACTGAATATAAAATGACAGTGACAAAAGATAAGGAACTCATTATCTTTCAGTAATATGAGAATGTTTATTGAAAGTAGTTGCAAGTAGCTCAGTTGTTATTTCTGTCAATCATCTGTCATGTAAATTTTTGCAAGAACCTAGTAAAAAGATCATAACCATACAATGTACACACATCTTTTTTAAGAAACTCACATGGACAAGAAGAAGAGACTACATTAAGCTCTAATACTAATTCTGTATATTTAAAATACACCTTGTAGTGTATAACTCTGTTCTTTGTTAATGTGATTTTTTTCTGCTTATGACAAAAATGTTAATGCAAAAATATCAGAAAGTAACCATATAATTTCAGGGAAACAGACAAGATTTCATGAGTTCAGTTACTGCAATCTCTTAATAGCTCTGTGTGAACTAACCTGCATCCTGTGTGAGGTGTGAAGGAGGACCTCTCTGCAGCTTTGAAGTTTCTACCCTCACGTCTGTCTCATCTGATGCTTTGATAACAGCTGTAAGATTATTTTATTTTGTGATTTCCTAATACAAACACAAGAAAAAAATGATTTTTCAAAGGTGGTGTTTTTATAATACCTCTTGTGAGACAGGGCCGTGCTGTATCTGAACGCCACTTGACAGACAACATACAGTAACTATGTTACAAGACCAAGCAAAAAAGGCAGAAATAACAATGATCGAAGATGGTTGAATCACTGTGTTACTGAATCACTGACTTACTTAAGCAAAGTTTCACTTTTATCGAGTGTTAACTTTCTCTTCTTTCATTCAAGTCGGTAAACTTTACGTTCAACATTCTTTTCATTTGCTTTTTCCTTTCCCAAAATCTTGCCTCCAACTCACTAAATTATTCTTGTGAAATTACCTGTTGACCCTCAATTTCCCCATTGGTTCCTGGTACAGTACTTGTAGTTTGAGGCTGCTAGTTATAGCAGAGAACTACACATTTTGTCCAAACCTGAGGTATGAAGAAATTGGCAAATCAACATTCATGGGGTATGAACTCCAAACACTTTCTAACTCTTATTTGTATTGTTTTATTTTGTTGTCATTTAGAAGTAAAAAATGCCCCCTTGAAATACTTGGATAACTTAAAGCTGGATTTCATGCGGAAAGTCAGATTAGTGAGTAATATTGGCTTTAGGTCAGTCTCAAAAATATCAGTTGACACTTGGGTTAGTCCACAACATGTTAGTGCTTTTGTAAAATGTAGCCAGGATGTGTGCATTATCCCATGGAAAGAAGTGTAGAGATTGGTTTGCTGTTGTGCTAGCAGAGACAAGGCATCACAGCACTGATATTGTACATACAACACCAAATAAGTGTTAATTACACTATGTGTTAAACAGGCCCTGTGGCATAGAAGCGATTTTCCTCCCCAGGATATTTCTTACTTGATTTTACATACTAGAAATAGATAAAGGAAATTAGAAATTCAGCTCAATATTTTGTTTGAGTGAATGCTTAAAAGCCTTCACTTGGAAAAATGTACGGTATTCATTTACACTGAAAGCCAAATAGAAAAAGTATTAATCATCAAAATGGTAAGAATCATAGAGGTCAGGAAGTGGCTGTTTTCGGTCTAAAACAAAGGCATAGAATCTCCTGCATGAATTGTTCTCAATAAGGGATATTTAATGTGAGAAATGTCATTAATATTTTACAATTTCTATATTAGCCTTCATTTTATTTATATAATGAGGCAATATAAAAATAATACAAAGCAATTTATTATATATATACATTAAATTGGAATTGACAGTTACTTTCTAAGGTGGACATGGTGGTGCAGTGGCACCCTGGAGTCAGCTCTATACCTAGAGTGCTAGCTGTGTGGAGTTTATATGTTCTTGCTTGGGTTTCCTACCCCAGTTTAAATATATACTGGTAGGTTAATTGGCTCTGGTGTGATTGCTTTTGTGTCTGTCTTGATAGACTGATGTCCTGTCCAGGGTATACTGAGCCTTCTGCCTGTTGCTCGCTGAGATAGGCTCCGGCTGCCCTGTGACCCCAAAGTGGAACAATGACTTAAAGTAGAGCAGACTCTGGCCAGTCTCAGGTCCTGTTGAGTGGCCTACCCAGGATTCACTGCATTTAGCCAGTCACTTGCCCCTGCTTGGGAAAGTACTATCATAACTGGCTCAGACCAGGCTTGATCCAGCAAAATCTAAACTATTGTGATCAACCTGCCTTTGGAGAAAAACAGCTTTACTGGCTGATTTGGATTAATATCACCCTTGTCTTTGTGTTACAAAAGTACCATTGTAAAAACCTCTCTCTCATGGGCAATGACCAGTATTTGCTCTATGAAATTGTTTCTGACTGTCCACCAAGTAGATGATAAGGGTACAGAAATAGGTGTCCCTTAGACATACAGTACAATAGCACTTTTTGTTCTATTACATTTCGTTACATTTATCATACTTGTATTTAAATATAATATTTAAATAGAAAAATGTCCAAAGATGTTTTTCAACATTTCCCAATAAACACAATAGCCTGATATATTGTTTGTGACAAAAACATTGACTTTAAATAACAAGATCAGGAACCATAATCTAAGATGTAAGAGGACCGTTTTGAAGTTAAGAATCTTAGGAAGACCACTGTGCTCACCAAGCAGCCGCAGACTTCGCTTTAAATAGCTCTGCTGTGTGAAACGCTGCTGTTGGGGGTGGTAAGTGTGATTTGGTGGGGTATTGCCGATGCTAAGAAAGATCTGAGAACTGAACGTGAGAAGGAGTGCAGGCTGAGCAGAACTGTTACCCGCAGACTAAAGACTCTCCAGTCCTCACATCTACTATCTAAATTGTCCTCAGTGATACTTTCAGTTAACTTTCTTATGGCTCTTTAAAGAAGGGTAACTTTCTTATGGCCCACCATAAAAATAAAACTATGCAATTTAAGCATACGTTTTGATTAAGTCAATTGAGTGATTTATGTTACAGGGAGTAAAAGTGCCCTGGAGACAGCTGGCAGCTCTATTGTCAGGCTGTAATGAGTCACAGCAATATTAATTAGAAGTAGTGTCCAAAAC